TCAGCGGCAGCAAGCGCAAATTCCAAGAATTTCTGTATACATATACACACACATATTCACGCGCGACTTCTTTGAATTATATCAACAGTATTGCAATTGCGATTGTATTGTTTTCTGTGCTGCTATTTTAATTCGATTTTTTCTCATTAAAACTCAATTATTGGTGTGGCTGTTGAGTAAAGGCGGCAGCAAGTTATGCGGTCAGTTGCGAGTTCGAACCCTGAAAAGAGAATTTTTTTGTTGTTTAATTTATCTTTATTACTACTAAAGCAAACGAGCGCGTAGTGCGAGCTGCATTTGGGGTTGGAATAAGAGGGTTCAGGGTATCCCGTAGTCGGGAGCTCCCGACTAGAACCTCTTACTTCTTATATCTATGATCATTTTATTCGTGCGAAATATTATAAGCATCGGGTCACAATGTAATATAGAGGGCATACTAACAATGGTCAACAATTTAAGTTCATGTAAGAACCACTTTTTTTATTCCAAAGTATCTATATCAAACTCGGTATTTATTAGTCTCACAAGACTGCTTACATATATGCAATTTCTTACATGACATTAATAAGTTTTAATATACTCCTTACATAGATGCTATATCTTATCCACAGCTGACCACTTTATTAAACAACTGCATTAAGAACGCTCAAAAAGACAAACGTTCTTAATTATAATTATAATTTTGTCGTGAAATGTGTAACGCATAGAAGGAGACATCATAAAGTATATATATTCTTGATCAGTATCAATAGCCGAGTCGATATAGCCATGTCCGTCTGTCCGTCTGTCTGTTTCTATGCGAACTAGTCTCTCAGTTTTAAAGATATCTTTATAAAACTTTGCAGAAGTCCCTATTTCTGTTGCATTCATTTCATATTCCAAAACCAGCTGGATCGGACCACTATATCATATAGCTGCCATAGAAACAATAGGTCGCAAAGTAGATTCTGGTATGAAATACATTTTTGTTCAGAAAGATATCTTGTTCAAAATCGGCATTTATTAGTTTTACTATGCTCCTCATATATATGCAAAATCCTATTAAGATCGGACCACTATATCATATAGCTGCCATAGGAACGATGCTAATTCCTCTTTATCTTGTTGATCTAATGTGCCAAATAAATATTTATAAATTGTACCCATAAAATTAGCCAGACCGCTTTTGAAGCGTTTTGCTATTCTTATGCCGTTCATTTCAATTTCAAGTTTTTCTTTTAAGTATTTTATTTCTGAATATGTTTCAAAATCTCGGCTTGTTTGATAAGATTATTATGGGTTTGTTCTGTTTTCGTTATGTTCACGGACAAATAATGGTATTCATAGTTTACGGGTAGATGTATTACTCCTGTTTTAAAAATTAGGTAGCCATTCTTTATATCTATACTTTGGGGTTTGGTTTCTCGGACGTAGGTTTTGTTGGTTCTGTAGGTTCTTGTATGAAAATCATTTTTGATTCTAAACATCAATCTCGGCATTTATTAGTTTTACTATACTCTTCATATATATGCAAAATCCTATTAGGATCGGACCACTATATCATATAGCTGACATGGAACGATCGTTCGAAAATTAACGATATCACGATATTTTGACCAAACTCGTCATTTATTTGTTTTATTATGCTCCTCATATATATTTTTTTTTAGTTGAAAAAGCTGTCTTAGGAATTTAGTTTTCATCCACTTGGATCTGGTGACAACCTTTCGCGAGGTCAATGTTAGTGAAATACTGACATTTACCAAGTTTTTCTAGTATACTATCCTTTGCTGGTATATGGTATTTGTCATCGACTATGACTTCATTAGGGCTTCGATAGTCAATGACTACCCTAAATTTTTGTTTACCGGATGCATCCCTCTTTTTGCATATGATCCAAAAAGGCGAACGATTTTGACTTGCGAATTATCCCTTGTTTGATCATTTCGTTGATTTGATTTTAGACTTTTTGGTCGAATGCTTGGGCATATTTAAATGGTTTTTTGTAAACTGGGTCTTCATGTTTGGTTTGGATGACATGTTCAACAGTATTTGTGAAAGACAAATTTTCACCTTCTCGGTACTGGATGTCACCAAAGTCATGTAAGACTTTGGTTAATTTGCCTTTCTCTTCATCGTTTAGATAATCTAGGCGGAATTCGTTGAACTCTGAGAGTTCGTTGTTGATGGCGAACACAAATTGTTCGTCATCAGATGGGTGTGGAACGAGATATTCAGTCTTTGACTCGTCCTCGGAAAATTCGATTTCTGAATTGTTATGCATTGTAAATGTGAACTCATTTATTCATACGGTTTTGGTTTTGTAGTCTATTAGGGTTTGAGAACTCTCTAGGAAGTCTCGACCTAATAGCAAGTCAAAATATATGCTAAAAAATGATGTAACTAAAATTTCGGATGAGTGGGGCAGAGTTTGCTGGGTTTCAGCGAAATACTTTGATTTAGTATTATTGTACCATTAATTGTGTGTACTTCTAATTGACAGTTTTTGAAAGGAAATTATTGAAATTTTCTGTCATTAAGTTAATAATCGACCCCGTGTCTATTTCACATTTTAGAGTTTTATTATTCATGGATAATTTTATGTATAGGATGGTTCTTCTTCGATTTCTGACTCCGAGGCAGTTTGAAGAAAATTTTCGGTAGTATCCATTTATACGTGACCGCTACCGCTTTCGCGTTGCCGTTTTACTGGCGGATTGGGGGTGGATGACTGTTTTTTTTTGATTTGATAATTAAGGGGATTTTGTGCCCTGCCCTTGTTCAAATTATGTCTAAACTCCTGGTTTATCTGTGAGCTACAGTCAACCTGGGACTTTGACTTCTTTGTGCTATTATTATAATTTTCTGGTTTCGATGTATGACTATAATTTTGAGTTTCCGTATTCTCAGGATAGTCATTATTACCCCGATTTTTAATGAAAGTAGACGGACTATTTTGTTTATTCTATTTTTTCTTTCTATCGGACAATATCAAATCGTAAATATCTTCTTTTTGTGCTATTTGCTTAAGTTTTGAAACTGTTTTTATTTTATGATATGCTAACGTCATGAACAACCTATCAGGTACTCCTATTTATATAACGACTTTTACTGTTTTGTTTGGTGTACTTGTGTATAGCATTGTATTCATTTGATTCTTTTCTAATATGAGCTTATTTGATATAACATAGGATTTGTATTCTAATTCTTCAACAAACTTACGAATACTTCTGGTGGATGGTGTGTTGTAGATTCTTCATAAGAGTTCTGCACAAGGTCTTTGCACGTTTCTTCCTAATTGCATCTCTATGGCTCCAAAAAGGACGCTTTGTTGGGGGATATCGCTCGTCGGATATATGCGCTTAATTTTTCGGTGGCTTCATGGATTGTCGGCACTTGCCTTATCTGGCCCAGTGCTCGTAATAGATGACGATTACAAATGAGTGCGACTTACAGGTATCAAAGGATATGCAAGACCAAGGATACCAAGGTGAATGATTTTGCCTTCGCGTCGATCGTCTTCGCCGACTACGATTTGCTTTTAAGGCCTGGGACTACAATTGTCCTTTTATGGTCTTATTATACTCGCGTATCCTACCGGCTGCGCCAATAGAATAAGCCACTACGCGTAACTTAAAAAATATAACTTTATTTAAAAATAGGCGCGACTTAAGGTAATTTACAATTTGTGCTTGATGCAATTTGACGTTTCAAAGTCGTCAGATTAACTCAATTTCTTAAATGTTGTCAACGCTTAGCAAACCCTGGGCTGAGGGCTCAAGATCATGAGCTCACTCTCTTTTAGCAATGCTCTCATTTTCTTAATGATATATATGCTATATTGGAATACAAATATATATATATATATATATATATATATATATATACATATATATATGTGATGAGCTTATTTTGGCGGCACTTTTTGGGTAAGGAGGTTATTTCAGGGACATTTGCCACTATCGGGGACTGTCCCCGAAAATATCGACGGTGCAATGTTAATTTTGAGGACATTTTCGTTTTCAAAGCAAAGCTATGTACTTTTGGTTATGAACTATATATGGTATAAAAATATATTTTTTTTCAATAAAGATTGACTTAGCATTAAGCTAATCTAGGTTTTATAAAAAAAGTTACAGGCCTCTGTTGATTTTTGTAGATTATGCATATAGTCAATTTTGGGGACCCATACTTCTATGATTTTTCTTTAATTGTCCGTTTAGTATTTATGACCCCAGTTAAGTTAATCTGATTTTTACTGGTTAAATATATATTTAAAAAATATGAACAACAACATATTTAACCAATTATTGATTATTTTATGAAAAATATAAAATTAGATTCCATCGATGTGGCAACACCACACATATATATGAACAACAGCTTTTATGAGGACAGAGGAACAGTGGAATTAATTTGTAATGTAACGATTATTTCGGGTACACTATATGTGACATACCTTTTGGGGACAATGTCCCTAAAATAACTATAGCATATATAACCAAATATACAAAAATGTTTAAATGGAATGGAACGAAAATTTACCAAACGCACACGAAAACTTTGAAAAAATATACGTACATACAATGCTTATAAGGATAAATATATATTTTTATTTAGAAGTGAATGTTTATTTGTTCCTCTTTTTTAAATAGATGTTCAAGATTTTCAGAGGTAAAAGTCTAAAAGTATTAAAATTATATGCAAATAAATTCGGTGTGCAAGAGCTTATATGAAATGAGATATTTTTTTATTAATAGTAGAGAGCTCCTGCTTTCCCTAGCGGCTATTCACCCGGAACCCTCTTCTGTCAGAGCTCGTTTGCTTCAGCAGTAATAAAAATAAATTAAAAAAAAATGTATTTCCTAAATAGGACTAGAAAACACGACACGAATCGAGCTAAAAATTCTTGAGTTAAGTATAATTCGTACTCAATTTCATATAAGCTCTGAACGGTCTTAGAATAAGTACTTATCTTGTTGTGTCTGTGATTGTACAAGACCAAGAAGACCAGAACTCTATTTTCGTTTAATTGATTTTATTAAAGCTTATATGGTCGTCCGATCTGCTACCTGCATGTTATTTTTTTTGGATCAAAAGTGGGTGTTAAGGCGGGATTTTCGAAAATTTGATGAATGCGTAATGGAATGTTAGTAATGTTTTTGTTGTGAATAGCGAAATTTTAAATAAAATTAAATGTAACAAACTTTCGTCAAATATAATAATAAAATTCAAGATATTTAACATTATATATGAAATATATTAAAAAAGTATTCACAACGAATTGCTCATAGCAATAAGTCAACAATTGGGCGAATCAATCGCCTTCGTTGCCTTTCTCCAGCACAGATTTGACACATCCGAAACGCTGAACACGATCAAATAAGTCAGGAAGACTCATAATTCATCGACTCATTGGCATCGAAACACAACATAGCCGCCAGCTTCGCAGTGGGACGTTAATAAATCGAGTAGCAACCATCAATGCTGATACTGCCTATGTGATATTTAAGAAACTTGCGCGCTTTCCGTTGTCCAATGATGGGTCGGGCTCGGTGAGCATAAAGTGGCTCGAGCTGCAGCTCTGCGCCCGATCGGTTGGCGCATACAGTAAAATTTCATTTTTCGTTAGCTTAATATTTGGACATTGGGCCACAGCTGCGGTCTTAGTGACGGTTACAGGTGGCTTGCAGCCAGCTGTAGATGTTACCACAGTATTGTCGGCATTGCCATCTGACTGGTTCCAGCAAGTGCCAAATGCCGTAGCGGTATCGGAGAAACAAAGATCATACATCGTTTGTGATGTGCTGGCTGCACGTTTAATTGGCTTTTTGGCTAATTTCTTCAGCGCACGTGCCAAGCCGGAACATTGGACAAGGCCGTCGAGTTCCATCCACGCTGTGATTGTTAAAGCTCGATTTCTCTGGCAGCAGTGGCGATACTGAGGCTTCACCTTCTTCCTTTGGCTCCGCTTGTTGCCTCAGTTTTTTGCGCTCCTCCAAATATATTTGCTTCGAAAGTGCTAACGCACTGCTGTCAGTTTTAAGGGATTCTTTTTTGTTCGGTTCAAGCTTTGGCGTTGGCACAGAGCTGGATTTCAGACATGTAGGTTTGGGAGTTGGTATTGGGGCTGCTTGTTCCACATTTAAGAATTTTACTAATGCTTTTTGCTTTGGCTCAGCTTCGGGCACTTGCTGCATTTTGGGGGCTGTCTTTTTCTTTAACTCGCCCTCCTCTGTGTCATCTTCCGATTCCTTGTCAAAAGATTTTAAATAAAAACAATAATAACAATGTTTAAAAAAAAATGAGACAAATACATATGCTTATTTTCGCCTGTACTTTTGGCTGCATCGTTTGCTTTAATGTCTTGGAACGAATCGTTGAGGCCTGCGTGCTGCATCTGGGTGTGTTCGACTGTACTGGGTCGGGACTGCTTTTATTCTCGACCATCTATTCTTCTGTAGCTGTTGGCAATGTGCACCACATTCGAGCAGAGTCGATCTTTGTTGCAACAGTTGCAATCGCTCTCCAACAAATGCGGCCGCAAGTCCTCCTTAAAGGCATATTGACGCCGTAACTTATTTACGCTGCGCTTGAATATGCTGCGCGAGCTGATCTGTACAATTAAAAAATATGCCTGCATACAACGCAGAAAAAACTATATATAAACTAATCAGGTCATGTTTTAAATTACTTTTGGATAAAATCAATTTTATTATTTTTTATTCGTATGTTTTGTTGTCATCGATGTTTTGGAAACACTGATTATTGCAATTGAATAGCACTATTTTGCTATTCGATACAAAGAAAGTGTGTTCGTTTGTGTTTCGGGTAATAGTAATCGCCTGTGCGCTTAATTGAATCTTGAATACAAAAAATTAATTATTTATATTACATTTACGACGTAAAAAAGTCATTCAAATAAACGTTTCCTAAAAATCAGACAAAAAAAATCATTGAAAGTTTAGTTTTAGTTTTTTCTAATAAAAAGCCGAATCTTTACTCCTAGAATTTGTATTTCGTTGTTTAAATACGACTATTTTGGGACAATATCGATTGATTTGTACGAATTTGCAATGATAAATGTTATTGTATGAATTGAATAAAAACGAGCCATATAAGTTTAACTATGCATGCGTAACAAGTATAGACAGCTAGAGTGACTTAGCCGGACGATCTCTTTGGTAAGCTGATCGTTTCCGCATGAAGCGACATTCGCTCAGCTGATGCTGTTTCGTAATATATGTATGTTAGTTTTTAATCTTGCAGCCCAAATACATACATATGTGTATATGCGATGTGCAGAGTGTGCCTCGCTCACACTTATTGATTTGCGCACTTGTGTGCATCTCCTTCTCCCTGCATAGCTTCTCAAAAACCCCGAGATCTACAAACATACATATGTTTGTGTTGTGTGGATGTGCGCACAAGTAGATCGCGGCGTTTGTCGCGAGCCAGAGATTTTTTCTTCAATTGTGTGCCCTTTGTGCCTGTGGTGGCAAAAGGCACACACATTCAAATGCTCTATCATGTATTTTTTCGTCCAGTCAGGCATAATGAGAAGAATCTGATATATTTATATTCATTAAAAACTTAAATGACCTAAATGATATATTTATATATTATATTTTAATTTTTTTGTTTACTGTGGGGACCAATTTTGCTTAAAATTAAAAAAAAACTAAGTCGTATTTCTGCAAGGGTAATTCTTCGTCGGCTTGTCGAATAATTTAAGAAAAGACCAAACATTGAAAATGTTCAATTTTTTCGACTTGCTACTTGTGCACACGCACACTCTTTCGAGTAAGCAGTTGGGCGACATTATTAAAGGGTTTGGCCTGTTCATGTGCAAAACTCCTATTTTCCATGCATGGTGTAAGGGTAAGGGTACCTGAACGTTGGCATGTGTACATAATACCTTTTTGAACCTGCCAAGCACACACACTTACACACTTTTCTATATGGATGGAATTAGCTTAATCGTGTATATGCGGTTTTCGGGGCCATTATCTCTAAATTAAGATATTTAAAGAATGGTGGAAGCCTTAATTTTCAACCCCTTGGTTTAATCATATTATAAATTAAAATTCAAAAAGAAATGAATGTAGACTGTAAATAATTTAACTTTTTGCAATTCTGCATTTAAATTTTTTTAGGTTTTGTGCTTAAAAACATAAATAAATGCATTTAGAAGTGAGCGATTCCTTTTCCGATAAGAAGTACCAAAAATCGAGGCTAAGTCACCGCCGCTAACTTGACCATTATGTGCGTCAAGTAAAATAAATGATATAGTAAAAATTGAATAAAAAGAGCCAATAAGTTTTTACGATTATTTTGGGAATTATCGATTGATTTCTTCGAAAATACAATTTTTCCGCTTAATCGTAATCGCCTGTGTTGTGCGGTTAAGATAATTTCGAAGTTTTTAACGACGAACAGAAAGTTATAAAAAATTGTTGTTGTTGGTGAAATGTGGGGAGTATTATGTACTCCCGGAAAATAAAGTGATAATAAAAAGAGACAAATGTTTCGCGAAATTTAAAGGCGCGAAATATGAGGCCGTTGTAATAGATAAAGCTATAAATGCATCTCGCCTTAAAAAGAAATGCAAAAGCCTAAATGGTAAGTGTTTAATGCATGTACAAGTGCATATTATATATTAATAAGTATCTATTTTTTTTTTACAGAAGCTGATAACCAAAAATGTCTTGATGTGGAGGCAGATATGCCCACAAACTGCGGCTCCAATGGTAAGGATAATAAGTATATTGTCATCTCTATATATAAAACTGTTTGTCCTGACTGACTGACTGACTGACTGATTGGTGATCAACGCACAGCCCAAACCGTAAGAGCTAGGAAGCTGAAATTTTCACTGTAGCTACCTTATGTTATGTAGGTGCACGTTAAGACGGGGTTTCGGAAAATTCCACCCGCAAGTGTGGAAAAATCGCGAAAAACGTTTGTATGTAATTTTTTTGTTTACCATCCGATCGGCCCCAAACTTATTTTTAAAGATCTTTGTTCAAATTCATTTGAGGGGTGTTTCACACTTTTCGAAAATTCCGTTCCTCCTTGGTGGAAATGGAGGTCAAAAATTTGGTGGGTGACGTTTCGCGATCAAATTCGTTTCCAAAGATCTATAAGAAAAATCATTTGAGACGTGTTTCACACTTTTCGCAGAATCCAAACTTTTTCGGGTGGAATGAGACTCAAAGATTTTTTGTGCGAAGTTTTAAAATGTGTCCGATTTGCTTCAAACTCATTTTCAAAGCTCTACATAAGAATGTAATGAATACGTGTTTCAGCGATTTGAGAAATTCCACTCGCAACAGTGGTAAATTGGCGGAAAATGTTTGTATGAAAGTTATTTGTTTACCGTCCGATCAGTTTCAAAATCATTTCAAATTTGCTTGAGAACATTGATTTTATAACATACGTGCCACGGGCAAGGCCGTGTTATACCCGCTAATATCTAAATACAATTGTATACAATAAATGTATCTATTTTTTTTTACAGAAGCTGATAACCGAAAATGTCATGATGTGGAGGCAGATATGCCCACAAACTGCGGCTCCAATAGTAAGGATATATATTTACAAATACTAATATACATATATTAATAAGTATCTATTTTATTTTTACAGAAGCTGATATTCAAACATGTCTTGAAGTTGAGGCAGATATGCCCACAAACTGCGGCTCCAATGGTAAGGATAAATGCTAATTTGATTAAATGAATATATTTACCACACATAACTGCGCTAATGCGCTACACATACATATATATTATTTTATAAAACCGGAATCCTCTTAAGGCTTCCAAAAAAAAATATTCGGTAGCCCGGAGAGAACTAATAATTCTTTTATTGCAAATATATTAAGTATTATTTACGCAACATCTGAATAGGTGTACGTAATAAATTTCTAACCATACTTACTAACAGTTTGTCAAGTAATTGTGTGCAAAATGAAAAACATCACACAAATTAATTTTTAAGCTTATATTTTACCAACTTAA